TTCTGGGGCTCCCCCTGGCTCCTGCAGGGGACAAGAGCAGGGAGTGCTTACTGCACAGTAACATCCTGCACAGGAAGCCTTTTTGCATTCATAGCCCATGTAGACATGCCCAGCAAGAACTTAATTCTGGTGTCAGGGTGCCTGGGAGGAGGGGGGCGTTGTTGGTATCACAAGGAGATGTTGCAGTGCAGCTGCCTCCTGGGAGGGGTGGTTTGCTCATCTCAGATTCTGCTAATCCTTGTCCAGGCCAGTGCAAGAGCCTGTGTCACCCCAACCAGTACTGTGCGGGACGTGGGATGTGACTTAGGGGGCCCAGCAATGCACAGCAGCACAGTGACAGGGATACTGGCAGCAGCTGTTCACTGCTGATGCCAACAACTGTTTGGGACAGCCAGGAGCAACCAAATCTCAGCCCTGGTGTAGACATGGTCAATTTTCCAAATGGCTGAGCAGGTTTGAAAAGCAGGTTTTGATTGTAAAGCCCCTTTTTGCCCACTGGAGGGGCCTTTTGACTGCACTTAGCTGCTGAGACGCTTGCTACCTACCCTCCAGCCAGCTCCAGCTCCCACCACAGCCCCGGGTAGTCAGCTACCAGCGATGGAGTTTCCTTGTGGGCAACAAGGTTTGGGGTTAAGCTCTGCCAAGGAAAACAGCTGGGGTCTGAGCTCCAATAGGATGTGGTGTGAAACTCCTCCAGCCAGAGCTCACTGCTCTGTCCACAGCATGTCTGAGCAAACAGCTCAGCTCACGTGCAGAGCAGAAAAGTTTGAGAAATACTGTGTGCCCTAGCCCAGCAGAAACCTGGCAGCATCCCCAAGTTTCTGATGTGCAAGAATAAGGAGAGACCCTCTGACCAGTTTGGGGCTAGCTCTGCTACCATGGCCACACTGACCATCACAGGAGTCCAAGGCCAGGGCGAGGCAGACTGTCAGTGCCCAGTGTTATTTGAAGACAGCAGCACTCATCGCAGTGACACAGACATTGGGGAAATGGGACAGAAACTTCTTGCTCTGAAAAGGAAACACTTGATACCAAATATTCCCCTGAGAGTAGGAGGCTCAACTGCCAACAAGGTGCCGGTGCCAGTACCCACTAGTGACAGACCCCAGGGGAAAAGCTCAGGATTAGCACAAGGCACGTAGCCAGGGCTGTCACCCATGGCATTACGGTGTGAGCCTTCACCCCACAGAGGGGCTCCCTGGTCACAGCACAGCCCCCCACAACAGCCCTATCCTGCACAGGGTGTGAACAGGGGACTCCTGTGGCCTAGTGCCAG